CGACTCGAAGCATGCAGCAGAAAGACGGAGCCGAGGGTTATGTTACTCCCATCCTACTTACGAACCACCTCCCGGGCATCACTTCGAGCACCCAGGAAAGTATCGAAACAGTGTCTGCCCGACGCGCTAGCAAAATGTCGAACAAGTATCGCCTCCCGGGGCCCGACGCGCGAAAACCCTCCCGTTTCGGCACTTCCCTCGTGCTCGAGAACTCTTCCTAGCGATCAAGGCTGAGAAGCAGGCTGGAACATCATGAGCCTAGGGGGCTCTGGTCGCGCATTCCCAAAACGAGGCTGCAATGTTTCGCAACGTCGGATCTCAGGGGAGGGGGGGCAGGGGGAGAGGGGGAGGAGGAGGAGAAGGAGGAGGAGGAGGAAAGGAGGAGTGGAGGAGGAGGAGGAGGAGGAGGAGGAGGAGGAGGAGGGAGGAGGAGGAGGAGGGGAAGAGGGCCGCAAGGGGGGCGCGGAGGGGGCTCGGGCCCCACTCACGGCGCGCTGCGCGGGGGTCAGCGGGCGCGCCACTGGGAGGTGCGCTCCTCCCCGCCCCGCGCTGCGGAGCCCTGGCCGTGGGAAGTGTTGACGTTGAGCGTATACGGAAAAATCCGGATTGTAGTGTATGTGGGAAAGTGCTGATTGAGCGCGGTTGGCACTCTAGTCCTAGATGGCGGCGTCTGTGGGCAAATCGCACGGCAGAGCCGAAAAGCAGCACGTCACCAGAATGCACGAAACAAGCGGCAGGTGCAGAAAGAAGACGACAAAAGCGGAGAGCCCGCGAGGGGGGCCGTGGGAAGAGCCCTCCTCCTCCTCCTCCTCCTCCTCCTCCTCCTCCTCCTCCTCCTCCTCCTCGGCCCGCTCCTCCTGCTGCTGCTGCTCCTCCTCCTCCTCCTCCTCCTCCTCCTCCTCCTCCTCCTCCTCCCCGGCCCGCTCCTCCAGCCCCCAAATTGGGGGCCCTCCTCCTCGTCCTCGTCCGACGCCCGGGAACGAGCAGCTGGCTCCAAATCAGAAGGCTGGAATCTGCCCGCAGCGCTCCACGCCAGAGCACCCCTCCATATACGGAAGAGGCCCAGGGACACACGAAAACACAGGCACATATCCCAGCATTCCTCAAACGTCCCCATATATGATGATGAAGCTTCGTCTTCCCCTCCACGTCCCATACGTTGCCATATTCTCCTAGGAATCAACGATTATGTTTGTCCACGTGTGTGTTCTTCCCCTCCTGATTTACGTTCCCTCTTGATTTACGTTCCACGTCCGCCTACAGCAGAAGTCAAGAATGGAACCAAGCCCTCTCGTTGATGCCGCTCAGCTCCAGATCACCCCAGCCGAGCACTCGAATTGCAGCAAGGCGGGTCCAAGAGTAGGAGGTCGGCTGCATGGGACAGGGGTGAGAGCACGGCCATGTGCACCGTAATGCACTTGTCACTGAGGACCGTGGCGGCCGGGACAAAACATGCAGCTGGCGTTGAGGCGAGAGCACGACTCCTGAATGAATCGCCAGGGTCAGCTACACGCAAGCGTGACACTGGGTAAGAGTGACATTGGTGCGGGGCCGCGGGGAGACCAACACACAAGCGCGTGTCCCACGTCGCCGCTGCCACAGAGAAATCTTACGGCTCGGGGGCACAAAACGGCGCAGTGAGAGACCGCGCGGTGACCTCGAACTCCCCCCGAAAGACCTCACCGCACGGTCGGTCAGCGCGGCTTCGGGACCCTGGAGGCCCCAGTCGCCCGAGGCACCTTCGGAGAGCGGGCCGAATCGCCAAACCCTGCGGTCACCCCGGTTCCCCACCGACTCGCAACACGGCGCGGTAACCACAGCGCTGCTACTCTGTGCTTGCGACGCCAGATGCTGAGGCTTCCCATCGGGCGCGGTTCCTCGATCTCCTCGCCGTTGTCATCGGACGAGTCCGCCCTGGCCTCAGCGGCTTTGTCCGCACGGGCCACGACGGCCTCCTTCCCCTTGGAGGGTTCGTCGTCGGACTCGGACTCGGAGTCCACCTGCGGAGGAGGAGGAGGAGGAGGAGGAGGAGGAAGACGACGAGCCCGGACCTCCAGGGCGTGGCGAAATATTACCAGCGGCGAGCGTATCCATGCCTACGCCCTCGCAATATGGATTCTGGGATGCGATCCTGGGCATACGCGGTCGCATGGACACGTTACGCGCAGGGCATCCGCGAAGAAACACCCTATTTCGAGGCCCAGGGGCCCGGCCCGCGAGGCCGTGGATACGGATGACTACGTCTTCGGCCCACGAAAACAATGACGACGGGCGCCTCTTTTGGCGGCGCGCGCAAGGGGGTGGAGGGAGGCGGGAGGGCTTCTCAGAAGGAGGCTGCTTCTTAGAAGGCACTGGCCCCACACATATATATATATATATATATATATATATATATATATATATATATATAGCCCGCGCCTTCTAAGAAGCAGGGGTGCCTCTGAGAAGCCCTCCCCACTTCCCCCACCCACCTCTGCGCGGGGCTGGCCCCTCGTGAGCGTTTTCTTGTTCGGCGTTTCGACATTGGGCGGCGGGGGGGGGAAGAAGAAAGAAGGAGGAGGAGGAGGGAGGAGGAGGAGGAGGAGGAGGAGGGGAAGGGGGGGGGGGGTCTGGCTCCAGAGCTCTGCTCAGTGCGGCTGTGTTGCAAGAGTGCTGCCTCTTGGGGAGAGCCCGCTGCTCGAAACAGGCGCCAAAAGACAGCCAAGACCCACTCCATGGAGGTGGGGGGAGGGAGGGGGAGGGGGGGGAGGGGGGGGGGGGAGGAAGGGGGGGAGGGGAGCTCCTAATCGGAGGGGGGGGGAGGGGTGGTGCGAGGGCCCGCGCCGATCGGCAAAACAACGAATAAAGAAACGATCACCTCGCCCTCTGCCTCGCCTGAGACCCCCGACGTCTGTCTCGGGCCCGTGGCCCTCGAGAGAGGGCCGCCGGCCAGGGGCCGGCGGCGAGGAGCACTGGGGGCCGAGGCAAGTTCCGAAGGGCGGCGCCGCGGAAGGATCACGACGCCGCAGGTCTTGGCCAGGGCAGCAAAGAGTCGAGTAGGAGGGCGAATACAGAGTCGATGTGACCCAAACCTATGCTCGTCGACTTTACGAACATGCGTATGATGTTCGTAAATCTACTGAAGTTGCGCGTAGTTTCGTAGATTCGGCGAACACAATTTTGGGTAAATCAATTAGGCAGGCGATCTCCTGCTCGAACGAGGAGGCGGAGGTGGTTGTGTAATCATCGACCCCTGACCAAATAAAACATGGCTGCCCAAGCTGAACAGAAGTTGGCAACTCTTTGTCACTCTACAGTTCCTTGTAAGCCAAGTATGCATCTTGTCGCAGAGCGGGGGGACTTTTAATGAGCATGCCACTTATGGACCAAACACCTAGACCCGATGTATGGTCGCGGCGATCGCAGCGGCGACGTCCATTGCGCTACCGAGGAACCCCACATACTTCGATTTAACTCTCGTCTCAGCATAGCTGATGTGCAACATACGTGGATGATGCTAGGTGGTCCATCAAGTGCCACGCCTGTTGTGCCGTGGACGATCAGGGCGGATAGCGCTCCCACCCCCCTGCGCAACCCCTGTGGCGTCGAGGAAATGCCACGCCTGCCATACCCTGCGAGCCTGCAACGCATAGCGCCCCCGCCCCCAGCGCACCCCCTGTGCCATCGAGGAAATGCCACGCCCTGTGGGCCTGCAACGCATAGCGCCCCCAGCCCCAGCGCACGCCCTGTGGCGTCGAGGAAACGCCACGGAATGCCACGCCTGCCATGCCCTGCGAGCCTGCAACGTATAGGGGCCGCGGTGAGAGACCGCCCCCTGCGCACCCCGTGGTGTGAAGAAAATGCCACGCCTGCTATTCCCGGGACAACAGGGGCGCATAGCGAGCGCGCTGAGTGACCACCCCCTGCATACCCCCTATGGTGTCGAGATAAGGCCACGCCTGCCATGCCAAGGACGACCAGGGCGCATAATTAGCGGCCGCACTGAGGGACCACCCCCTGCGCACCCCGCATGTTGTCGAGAAAGTGCTACGCCTGCTATGTTCTGGATGACCAGGGCGCGTAGCGGTCGCGGTGAGGGAACACCCCCTGCGCACCCCATATGGCGTCAAGAACAGGCAACGCCTGTACGCCCTGGACGACCGGGGCGCATAGCGGCTGCGCTGAGGGACCACCCCCTGCGCACCCACTATGGTGTCGAGAACGTGCCACGCCTGCTGTGCCTGGACGACTGGGGCGTATAGTGACCGCGGTGCAGGACCACCCCCTGCGCACCCACTACGGTGTCAAGAAAATGCCACACCTGCTATGCCTGGACACCACTGGGGCGAATAGTGACCGCGGTGAAGGACCACCCCCTGCGCACCCCAGATATTGTCAAGAAAGTGCCACGCCTGCTGTGCCTGGACGACTGGGGCGATAGAGACCGCGGTGAGGCACCACCCCCTGCGCACCCCATATGGTGTCGAGAATTTGCCGCGCCTGCTGTGCCTGGACGACTGGGGCGTGTGGAGACCGCGGTGAGGGACCCTTCCCTGCGCACCCCCTATGGTGTCGAGAAAGTGCCACGACTACTACGCCTGGACGACTGGGGCGTTCAGGGACCGCGGTGAGGGACCACCCCTTGCGCACCTCTATGGGGCCAGGGAAAGTGCCACGTCTGCTGTGCCTGGACGACTCGGGCGCATAGAGGCCGCGGTGAAGGACCACCCCCTGCGCATTCCCTTTTAGTGTCGGGAAAGTGCCACGCCTGCCAGGCCCTGCGAGCCTGGAGCGTATAGAGACCGCGCCGTGAGTGCACGAGAGTGACTTGGTCTTCGCCGGTGTGTCATGTGTATGTGTAAGATCTGTGTCAGGCTGTATGTGGTCGTGTGTCTCGTGTGGGTGCCCAGTATGTGGTGCATGCGTCTTGGATGTATGATGCAGTGAACACGCCAGGTGTGCACCAGCGTTGTAGGATGTGTGTGTGTGTGCATGCGTGCGGCTGTATGTAGACGCGTGTCTCATGTACGTGCCGTGCATGTGTTGCGCGTGGGTGAGGGGAGGAAGGAAGAGGAGGAGGGAGGGAGGTGTGTTCTGGGAGACGCGGGTGCGACGCGGCAGGAAGAAAACCAGAACCCCACGGAGCATGCGGGGAAAAACCGACCCGAAGGTTTGGTGCAGAGTCGCAAATCACGCGACGAGGCGACCTCCGGTGGCTGCAACCCCTGCATGATCTCCTCGAAGAGGCTCCGGATGTTCCTGTCCGCCGGGTGGACAAAGATCTCGTGGCTCACCTCGCTCCTCTTGAGCGCGGTGAAATGGACCTCGCGGTCGACGTCCAGCCCGAGGTAGGAGTCGCAGAGAGCGAACACGCGCCAGCGGAAGTCCCCGGCACGGGGGACCATGAAGCGCACCTGCGCAGGCCAGTTTCTCCTACAGTCGGACCTAGGCCAGAAGAGCATCACTCAAGAACATGAGACCCTCCGTCGGGAAAACAAACAGAACATCTAAGGGTACCCTCCCAAGGATGCACAAGAACATCCAACAAGCACGAAGAACACGAAGGTACCCTCCACGAACCGACCTCGCTCTTGTACCTCGGTCCGACTGTACAATGAATATTGTCATCCTCTCTCCCCTGACTCTGTCCGGAGAATTTCCCGTCGATTCCGCACATTGTTTTTCACACACAAGATTTCATGATTTGGTTCTTCCGTTGTGTTCAATCCGGTCGTTTCCAGTTCTTCCAAAATCGTGCTCCTGCTGCAGCGCTGGCCTCGTTCCCGCGCCTCTGGCTGTTCCAAATCGTGTTCCCGCAGCAGCACTGGCGTGTTCGGTCCTTCCAACTAGCGCTGTCGCTGTAGCGCTGGCCTCGTTCGAGTGCTTCGGTCCTCCCATATCGTGCTCCCGCTGCAGCGGTGGCCTCATTCCCGTTTTCGGTCCTGGCCTCGTTCCTGAACTCCCGTCCTTCTAAATCGTGCTCCCGCTGCAGCGCTGGTCTCATTTCCGTCGGTGCACCGCTGTCGATGCTATGCTTTGCGTTGCTGTTCTTTGTGACGCAATGCTTCACTACGCAATGGCACGCCAGGCTATGACATGTTATGCTCTGCCGTGCTCTTCTACGCCATGCTTTTCCATCCATCGCGTATCCTCTTGGGATGATTGTCCTGCTCGACATCCGACTGTGCGAATAGATAGGAGATCGACCCATGGTAAGAGATGAGAAAGAGGGGTAGCACGTCAGATGTGACGCTAGCGCACCTAGCTTGACTCCACCTCCTCCCTCTTTCTCCTGCTCCCGACTGCCTCTTTCCCCCCCCGGGAGCGCGCCTTGCTGACCTCCTCTCTGCCGTTGCCCAGCACCACGTCGGCCGTTACGAGGGACTTGGAGCCCTCGTCGTAGACGAGCAGCCACCACTCCTCGAACTTAGGCATCGGGAAGAGAGGGGCGTGCACGGGCCCGATGGCCTCCCCCTCCGCGAGATTGGCGCGCAGGAGGCGCACCGTGAGCGTCGCCAGGTCCCCCTCCGCGATGTCATTTTCGTCCTCCACCTCTCAGCGGGCGAAGAACGGTATCAAATGAACTTCGCCGCCGTCGTGGACGCCTACCCCCGGGGCGGCCGAAAGCTCATACCCCTAGGGTACCACGCAGGGGTATAAACTTTCAGCCGCCCGAGGGGCAGGCGTCCACGACGGCGGAAAAGTTTATTTGATTTGAGCAGGGACCGACCGTCCCGGCATTCCTAAAGGCCTACCACGACAAAAGCCATGTTCTTAGAACATAAGCGCGATGTGTGAAAACAAGACAGTCTCAGCCAGAAAGGTTCTCAGAAAATCTCGTGCGAACCACAAAAGGCTCTCAGAACAGTCCTTGGTGGGCCTATAGGCAAGCCGCGGCGCTTCGCCAGTGCTCGATTGATACCGTCCTTCGCCCCCGGAACCTCCACCGTGCACGTGAGCTCGATGCGCGGGGCGTGGTGGCAGAAGGCCTGCACGTCCAGGCCCTGCTCCGGCGTGAGCCCCAGCTGCTTCACGAGGGCGGCCGCACCGCCGGGGGCGACCAGCTCGTGCAGCGACGGCGCCGGCCCGCGCGGCAGCCTGCTCTTGTCGACGTGCGGCACCTGCTGATTCTAACCAATGAGGGGCCCCTAAGCCTTTGGGAGTGGGGGCCCAAGTGAGGAGGGCCCAGACACGAGGGATAGGGGGGTCTTTTCTGCAGATGTGCCGCACTCAACCGCCCAGAAGTGTGACCGCTATAAGGCGAAGACAGGGACCTCAGTCAGGTCACGTCTTCATCGTGTTATCAGGATTGCAGTGGAACAAGAAACCTTCCACACGAAACCCAAGACTGGAACCCCAGGACGCCCATTGATGTTTGGCGTGGGAACGTCACGCGTTCCGTAGCAAAACCATGGAAACCCGAGAAACCCAGGGCACCCTGGAGGCAAGCAGGGTGCTTCTTGGCATGGGCCTCCACTGTGGGGGTTGTTTTGCTCTCCATGATTGAGCAGGGACCGATATTCCAGGCATTCCTATGGCCCTACCACGAAATGTTCTTAGAACCCAAAAATGTTCTCAGAACAAAAACAAGGTTCTTGGAACATAAACCCGATGTAAAAAAAACAAAACAGTCCCAACCATACATGTTCTAAGAACATTGCGTGGGAACCACAAAAGGTGCTTCGAGTATTGTCTGGTAGGACTATAGGCACGCCAAGACGCTTCGCCAATGCTTGACATGACCTGCAGCAGCGGCGAGTCGCCCGGCTCCAGGGCCTGGACCAGGCAGCGCCGGAAGCACAGGATTCCGCGCAGGGCCTCAAGCCGCTCGGCCCGGTCGCCCTCGCCCCGCGCGGCCACGGAGGCCATGGCGCGGCCCAGCCGGGGGGCCTGCCGCAGCAGCGCGGTGAGCTCGGCCTGCACGAGCGGCGCCATGCGCTCGTGCAGGCGCCGCATGTGGGCCCACAGGAGCGTCGCGTGGCGGCGGAGGCCAGACCCCCGCGCGTTGTGAAACAATCACGACGGGAGGTGTCTCGCTGTTTCCTAAGAGGGTGAAAAATCCACCCCCATGGTCCATGATAACCACCCCGACGAGCGAGGCCGTTTAGTAAGCGCACTCAAAGAAGAAATCGAACAGGGCAGGCTGTTTGGTAAGCGCCCATGGCCGTTTGGTAAACGCCAATTCTCTGGTCCGGGTGGATTTTCCTCCCTTGATTTTCGGCCTCCGGGGGGCCTCGCTCGGCCTCGGGACCGTCAAAAAAAAGGCTCAGGACGAGAAACACGTCCCGGGGAAGGGGTCCAAACCTCTGGGGGTCGACGTTGCGAAAAAATCACCACGTCGGGGGTCTGGGTGGGCGGGTCGCTGAACGGGCACGGCGCCCAGGGCTCGATGACGGTCAGGCACTTCCGGGGCAACTCCTTGGCGAGAGACCAAGAAGATACCGACATGCCGCTACTCCCCGGACCTCTCCCAAGGCGTGCTCTGAGCAAAGCTTCGAGGCGAATCCGGCCGTGGCGGCGAGGGCCTCCCAGGAGGCCCAAAAAGGCGAAAATGTGGGAAGAGTAGTGGTATATCAATTATCGTTCCCTGGGATCTGACGTTCCGAGAAAAATCAACATCGCAAAACATCACGGCCAGATCACGGGGCCCCAGCTTTCTGCGGCATTCTTCGAGCCGGATCGATCCGTCAGGGCCCCGGAGCCACCCGAAGCCTGGCGAAAACGCCCGTTGGGAAAAAAATGCCACGCCAAGATCTCAGGGTTCTACACTCGGGGACGCACTGACCCGGCTCAGTGCAAACCAGAGTCAGTCAGGCCTTGCAGGATCCTGCAGGATCCTGCGCGCTAAACTGAGTCAGTGCACCCCTGGCTCTGCAGGAGCCTGCAAGATCTGGCGCTCTGGCTGACTCCCCTTTCATTGACGCCTTGACCCGCGTCGCTTAGGCCCCGACATACTCATGGCTCCTTGCTCTCTGGCGGGGGCGGCTTCTGCCCCGGGGCCGGCCGCACCTCCGGCAGCAGATCCACCCTGCAGGCCAGGTCGCCCACCGTGCGGACCTGGCCCCGGCGGCCCGGCAGCTGCGCCCCGCCGGTGACCTCCACCACCGTGCCCTCTTGCAGCGGCATCGGGTGACTGAAGCGCATTTTTTATTCGCGGCCATAACGTGTGCTGTGGGGGGGTGGTGCTGACCTTCCAGGAAGGCTGAAAAATAGCACCCGAACCTTGACACCGTATTTCCTGTCGAGGATTCAAGCAGTCCAGATAGGTCTGTAGGTCAGGAGGGCCATTCTTAACACTCTGGAAGGTCAGGGGGGGGGAGGGGCGGGAGGGGGTACCACGCAGCGCCCCCCCCCCCCCCCCCCCCACCGCCAGGCTGCGGTGCTGGATGCACTGCGGCAGCGCCCCGGGGATGCACTGAGGAGGGGAGCGTTACATTATGGGGGGGAGGGGGGGGACACCCCCCATAACATTACGCTCCCCTCCTCCTCCCCCCATGACGTTACGCTCCCCTCCTCAGCGCTCCCTCCCCATAACGTTACGCTCCCCCATCCGCGTTACGGCCCAGAGGGTTAAACAAAAACTCTCTTGGGTCTGGGGAAACCAAAAGGTACCGATACCGCTACCCCCCAGACTTCTCCAGGGGTGCGTTCTGACCTGAATTTAAAGGCGAATCGAGCGGTGGCGACGAGGGCCTCCCATGAGGCTCCCCCCCCAAAAAAACGGACGAGGGGGGGTAGGGGTATGGGTACCTTTTCCTCCTCCCAGGGTCGTCGTGTCCCGGTGCTCTAGGAGGGGGGAGCCCAGCGCCGCCCAGACGCCCCGGGGCCTGCCGAGACGGAGGCGCGCCGTCTGCGCGTGCTGCCACTGGGCCCCGACCGCGCTGGCCTGGAGAAGCCGTCGCCGCACCGGGCCATCTGGGGCCCCGGGGGCTGGCCCTCCCCTCTGGGGACCGGGGGCTGGCCCCATCTGAGGTGAGAGGGCAGGGTTTAACGCGCGTTATGGCCAAGTTATTTGTACATTATCAATGATAATAACAACAATGATAAATATAAAATACGAATGCAATACTAACACGAATGATAATGATGATACTAATTAAACACATAAACAATGATAATACGAATACGAATAATAATAATGATAATGGTAATACGAATAACAAGAATAATCAGGCTACTAAGAAGAACAACAACCACACATAATAACCATTTTCTATAAAAAATAGGAACAACAATTATAACAACAACAACACCAACGACAACAATAATACCATTACTCAATATTGATAATAATTCCTCGTCTTACGATACTAATACAAATAGCACGCATAATGATACGAATAAGAATAACAATACTACTATGAATAAGAAGAAGACATAGCATAACAACAACAACCACAACACCAACCATTATAGTGATGATACGAATAAAAAATAATGATAATAACAATGATACAGCTAATCATACTAATAAGAAGAATAAGAATAATAGTGATCACGACGATAATGATGCCGATAAGAATGGCAATAAGAGTACGAAGGATGAGAATCATATTACTGTTTCAAAGCAAAAGAGAACTCTCCTGGCGGCCATGGCCCGGGCCAGCGGGCGGATGTCGCTGAAGAAGATCCTGCGCGCCTCCACGGAGGCGGCCAGCAGACCTGGCCCGTCTTCGGCCCGGGTCTCGGCGTCGACGCAGGCGCCGTAGATCCGCAGGGTCTCCCCGCACACCCCAGCCGCCGTGCTGCCGGTGCCTAAGACGAGGCGCAAGGCCGAGGATCAAATCGTGTGAGGATAGATCGAGAATCTCTGAGATCCAGCGGCTCGGGAGGATGTATCGGGCGTCGCGGCCTTCCCAGAGCGTTCCAGAACGCTCTGAGAGCGTCCCGGAACGCTCTTGAAAGGATTCATCCTCGGCCTATCGTGGTCGTCGTCGTGGTCGTGATCCTCATCAGCGTCCTCGTCGTCCTTCTCGTCGTCGTCGCCGTCCTCGTCGTCCTCGCCGTCGGCGTCGTGTTCGTGTTCGTGTTCGTGGTCGTCGTCGTGGTCGTCGTGGTCGTCGTCGTCCCCGTCGTCCATTGCGTCGGCGTCGCAGCCGACGCCGTCCTCGTCGTCGTTGTCGTTGTCGTAGTCGTCCCGCCCGAGGTGCCGCCAAGACAGCAGCACACGAGGCTGAGGGGCGGCAGGAAGAGGAGCACGAAGAACACGACCAGGGTCCGGCGCTGGCTCTCTCGCTCGGGCTGCCTCCCGCCCAGCAGGGCGGGGTGCAGCGCGATGCCGACCTTCATCTGCGAGGGTAGGAGGCCACATGCGAACCCTGTCCCCACCACCCCACGATTTCCAAGGGGGGAGGTAGGGTTCACATCGCTCGGGAGGTCCCGAACAAAGTGAACCCCACCCCCCCCTTAGAAATCGTGGGGTGGTGGGGGCAGGGCTCGCATGTGGCCTCCCAGAGGGGCCATCGGGGTTGCCGTACTTCGCGTAGTTCCGCCTCGCCGACTCCTCCGTGAGGGCCGCCTGCGCCTTCGCGACCTGCTGGAACATGGCGGCGGCCATCGGGTCGTCCGGGTTCTTGTCTGGATGGAGCTCCAGGGACTTCTTGCGGTAGGCCTTCTTGATGGACGCGGCGTCGGCGTCACGGGGTATGTCCAAGATAACGTACGGATCGAAAGACCGCAATTCCGGAGCCTTCGTGCTCGCCTGGAAGACGACGGCGACCAGACAGAACCACAGCACGGTCAACACGAGCAGCTGCATCTTGACCGTACCACCCAGCCTGTACTTCCATGACCGCGCCGTCTCCAAAGCGCGTCGACGCTTCTCCTCCATATGGGAGGTCGTGCACCTCCGCACTATCGTTTCTGGCTTGGCCACGCCCCGCAGGTCAAAGTCATCCTCCGTCGGCGGTTTCGGATGCCAGATGCTCCTCGCGAGGAGCCACGTCCACGGCAGGAGGACTGTGGTCAGAATGCAGAGGGCAAAGTAGAGGAACGCGTCCGCATCGTACCGCAGCAGCTCCTCCTCCTGCGGCTGCCCGGAACAAGTCCGCTGGCCCCATGGACCAGCGGAGCGTCAGACCTCCGGGTGCGTCCCGCACTGCCACGGTGGGGGCGTTCATTAAGGAATCTGCCTAGGAGGCTTCAGACCCTGGAGGATTCCTTATCCAATGAGGGTGGCGGCGGTGGTACCCATGGCCACTCCACGATTGGAGTTCCGCGGGCATCCAGACCCTGAATCCCTTATCCAGTGCTTCCTCATCCAATGCCTTCACCGTATTTGGATCGCAGCTCGCTCGAAGCCACCAGAGAGCCTGAGCTGGAAACGCGCACGGCTGGATTCGCATGTGGCACATGCACGCGAGAAGGCCATCGTACCCTGCCGCACGAGGGCCGCACGCTCGAAAAGCATGCGGCCACATATGTGTGTAACCAACTCGCGCCTGGGCGGGCTACGCCGCGTGTACCCGGCTTCCCGGCAGGCCCCTGCGTGCAAGGCCACCCTGGGGGGCCTCGGCGGAATCCGTTGGACCCTCCCGGGGGCCCACAAGACTGAGGGGAGGAGGAACGGTGCGGGGGGCCGGCTCAGGGGGGAGAAGAATCGACCTGGAGCCGGCGATGCATCGCCGACGGATCGGCGAAGGGTCCCCGATGGCGAAGCCGCACGTTCCTGGGCGGGGCGGGGCGCCGGGCCACTAACGGCGACGAGTGGACGATTGGGGGGTCAATGCAGCACCTCTCGAGCACAACGCCCCCTCAACGTTGCCCTGGCTGGTTTTGGGGGGTCACAGCTTGGCTCTCTGGCGGCCGTTCGGGGCGAAGCTGGCACCCCAGGAGCGCCCTCGGCGAGGCGCAGCCGCTCGAAGGCATCCCGAGGCCAGGAAGCCGCCGAGAGCCAACGAACGTGCCCGAAAACCTCAAGCCTCGAACGCTTGGAAACCGAACGCTGCCCTCGACCTCCTGGGGGCGCAGAGGAGGGGGGAGGCCACCCCCGGACAGCGCCGAGCCGGGGCAGCAACGCCGCCCAGCAGGCCCCTGGGCGGCCGCAGGCAGCTCCGAGGCTCCCGAGCAGCCCCACGGCGCCGCCCAAGATCCCAGGACCCCCGTGAAGGACCAAAACCCTTCGAGAGGGGACCTA